TTTTATTTGCGTCTGTCACTTGTTGTTTTTCCTGTCTATGGATCTCTGTTTGGACAGGCACCCATATGTTGGGCTTAATTTCATCTACCAGCTTTCATTGTTTGTATGCTGCTCACTGTGTCCCATCTGTATTAGTCGACAGAGAATTATATTACAAATGAATTATACTGTGTCTGTTCTCTTTATTATGAGTGAATCTGTGTTTTGTCGCAAGGGCCAGCGCTACAGGGGTGACATTGTCATCAGACTATTCAGATGAGTCTACAAAAGGCCCTGCACACCTGCACCTACTCTGCATTTCACAGCCCTCTTCTGCTGTGCCTTCATTTGTTTGAATGGACCTTCACAGATGTGAGCACATCATTATTGTTCCGTGCTGCTTTAGACGGTGCTGTGTAAATTGTTTGTGGTGCCATGAGGTGCTCCAGTATGTCTTATTGGACTGTTTCTGAATGCTAGAAAATGTATTTATGTAAGAAGGATGCATTGAACATGAAATTAAAAAGGCATAGTTCACTCAAAAACAAAAATTATTATTTATTCACCATGTTATTCCAAACCTTTATGACTTTCTTCTTTGGAGCACAAAAGAGGATTTTGAAAAACGTCTCAGTGTTCCAGACAGTGGAAGTCAACGCTAATGTTGTTTTAGACTCCATTGACATTAATTCTATAGGCAAAAACATTTGAAACATTCTTATTTGAATTCTTATTTAAAGGTTATTTGAATGGTAATTTAGTCAACCCACTTAAAATATCTTCCATCTTCTGTTTCCAAAAGCTTCCTCAATGCTGTTTAATATGTCTGGGATGGTTAATATAATTTGAATTAAGCACTTAGCTGTTTTCTATTGAGCTTTAAAAATGCACTGGCTCTAGCGGGTTGCATATTTCTGTCCAAATTGCCCACTGGGTCATGTAGGTTTTGTGGTTTGCTCAGTGCTCTTTATATTGCCTAATGGGTTGCTAAGGTTTGGTTGTTTGTAGAGTGCCATCCAAATTGATATTTTCACAACTGCTCTGGTGAAAACAAGAAAATGGATCCACTGGATGCTGCACAGATGCTGCACAGAATCGGCTTGGCTGTGTGATTCGGTTGAGTAGTAGTTTTGTCACACTTTTGAAGTGTATAACTACCTAGGCCAGAAACTAGCCTATTGTTTTCAAGCAAACGACAAACTAACAAGTAATATGTAATTAAGCAAAATATGAAAAAAATATATATAAATAATATTAGTAATATGCACACTTCTGTTCAGAAGTTTGGGGTCAGGGGTCAGCATTTTTTAAAAGACATTAATGCTTTTATTCAGCAAGGATGCATTAAATTGATCATTTATAATTTAATTTAATTTAAACATTTACAATCTTACAAAAGATTTCCATCTCAAGTAAATGCTGTTCTTTTGTGCTTTCTATTCATCAAAGAATCCTGGAAAAATGTAGCATGGTTTTCACAAAAATATTAAGCAGCACAATCTGACACTGAAGACTGGAATAAAATAGAAATACGAAATAGAAAACTATTATTATTAGAATTAGGGCTGGGCGATAAAACAATAACGATAATTATGGAGATATAATTTTCCTTGATAAAACGATAACAAGAGTTCGATAAATATTGGATATAATGTTTATGCGCCAAAAGCGGAAGGAAACAGCGCTGCTCATTTGAACCGTGCCTCACAGAGCATTTATCCACTCGGCTCAGAGTTCAAACAGCAGCGCGAGCATGGTATTGTGGCAGAAATGTGGGATATTCATATCGAATTGTATGATATTATTTATGCTGACATGTATTAAATGTATTAAAGGAGTAATGGATTATAATTGAACATAATTTAATATAATAACATTTATTTATTTAACACACCATACTTCTTATTTACAGTTCCCTTTCAGTCGGTCACTCCCGACGTCACGTCAGTTGACCGACGAAATTGGGATCTCGCTTAGAGGGACCAATCCACTTCGAGTGTAAACTAAACGAGCCAATGCACATTGGCATGCGATTATTGCATCCAGCTGCTGGCTCGTTTAGTTTACACTCGAAGTGGATTGGTCCCTCTAAGCGAGATCCCAATTTCGTCGGTCAACCGACGTGACGTCTCCGTTCCCTCCTTCAGGGAACGAGGGTTACATACGTAACCGAGACGTTCCTTGCATTTGTACTAGGGCTGAACGATTAATCGCATTGTAGATAATATCGCGATATGAGACAACGCGGTTTTTTTAACCGCAAAGGCTGCGATTACATTCTGGTCACGTGACATGCGATAGTAAAGCTGTCTGCAGAGGAAGCGTCAACTTGGCACACTAAGCATATGCCTGGCCTACAGAAAAGCACACTTTATGTTTAATCTATCTAATATTGTGTTGGTCATACTATACAATAGAGATGGGAGAAAAGATTCTCAAACGATTCTGGATCGATTCTGAGCTTAGTTAGCTCGAACCATCCACACAATAATCTTTAATAAAGTTCGGAAAGGTTGAAGCGAATTACAAGGACATTCGCGCTTCACTGAACAGGATGCGCTGTGAGAAACGCATGCGTTGCTGATGCTTGCAGTGTGTCGTCTCTCCCGCCGGTATTTTCCTTACAAATGCTCTACGAACACCTCCTCAGTTATGTCGTTATGTCAATTTCAAATGCTGACGCGTGCTTTGTGAAGAGTGCTCGGTCATGCGGCTGTGCGCGACTCCTTTTAAGTGGTTAAATATACTTGCATCTCAAAATGCTTTTATGACGCGAAATTAATGTAAACACAGTCAGTTATGTCTTAAAGGATCAAACAGACAGGACAAACCACATCTTATATTTCAAAAGAGATCTGTGCATTAGTGTGAATGCAGCTTATTAGATCGCCCGCTCTCTATGTCATCATAATAATCAACAACAAAATAATCGCAATTAGATTATTTTCCAAAATCGTTCAGCCCTAATTTGTACATATGTACATATTTGTACATATGCTACTATGAAAGACCAATGGTTAATTTGAATAAAACTCAAACAGTCAGAATAATTAAATTTCACCGTCTAAAAATTTGGTTGTTAACATTTTTACAGATGTTACTGTTTTTGATAATGAACATAAATTTGCAACTGCATCCTAACTCAAGCTACTAACTTTAGGAGCAAAAATCTACCTTTTAACTTGAAATAAATACAAATATTATCGATATTGACTGATGAAAAATTTTATTGAGAATTTTTTTGGCCATATTGCCCAGCCCTAATTAGAATAAAAAGGGTAATGTATGCTTGCAAAAATATTTTCCAGAATAAATAGCTACTTTTAAATGGCCTTCGATGAATAAAAACACTTTTAGCCTGCAGAGCATGTAGTTACAGTATGCACTAGCAGAGGCTAACGGGCTTTGCCAAACTTTGACCCCTTTGCAAGTACTTATTGTGATTTTTATTATAATATTTTCATGTAGCTTTACTCTCTTTCTTTCTCTCGCCTCATCCACCTACTCCCTCTATCACATCATCATACTGAGAGCCTCATCAGCACCTCTGCTTCCCTACACGATGTGCTCTTGGATGTGAGGGCAGCCTCTGTAAATTCACTCTGACCTCTTCTCATTGCATATTCCTCTACTGTAAGAGTATGTAACACTGTGCTTCTTTGCGCCCAGGCCACAGGCCGTATGGAAGCTGCTCTCTTTTTGTGTAAGTGTCAACGCCGCCATGAGCTGTATGCAGAGGGAGAATATTAAAACAGCTTCTTATGAATAGAAAGTCATAAAAGAGCCCCTGCTAAATTAATAATGGATGAATCACTTGGGGGCAGGCGAACATGAAGGGTATTCTGGTGTGCCAGTGTTTCAGCTGACCAGGTGTTCCAGTATCGCTCCGGTGTCATCCTGCATCATTATATAATCTATATACTATTAATCAATATTATTATGTATTTTAATATTATGTTAATAATGTAATGTTAATTGCTATTAATATATGATTTTATTCTATGCAATACATTTTTATGAACTAAACAATATTACTATTTTATTTATGTATCGAACAAATTTCAAGAACAAGAAGAATCTCACTGCTTTGTTTCTGTTTAATTGTGTAATACAGTACTGTTCAGAATGTCTTTTAATGGGTTTTTAAAGATGTTTTTAATGCTTGCCAAGGCACCGCGTGAAGAAGACAGTAAAACATTTTAAAATCACTTTTTTTTATATATATATATTTTATTTTTTAAAGAATTTTAACGTTTTCTTGTGATGCTAACGCTGAATTTTCAGCAGCCATTTACTCCAGTCGTGATCCTCCAGAAATCATTCTAATATGCTGATTTGGTGATCAAGAAACATTTGAAAACAGCTGCTTAGTATTTTTATGAAAACTGTGATAGAGTTTTTAAAAACAATTCTTTGCTAAATAGATGAAAGTGTGATGAAAAGATTCAAATAACATAATTTAGTTAACATGTTTTTTTTTTGTGATAATGTAAAAGTCTGTCACTTTTGATCAATTTAATGCATCCTTGTTGAAAATTTTAATTTCTTCCAAAAAAAATCTTACTTTTGAACGGTGGTTGTGTGTATACATTATATAATACAGTATTTCTCATTGCACATCTGTAGTTTGAAATGTGTTGTTGTACATGTGTTGTGCAATAGCAATCCAACTGCTTTTAAACAAAGTTTTTTTAAACTTTCTGATTTCTTTTTCCTTCTTTTTACCAGTAGCAAAAAAGGTTAAAATTTAAATATTGTAAAGCTATGAGCTGACATTTCTTACTCACTTCTCCTTGCCACACCTGTGCTTTTACCATGTAAAATACCTTTTGAATTCCTCTGTGACATTGAATACACCTGACTAATTTCTCTTTTCTCTTCTGCTTGTTTCAAATGTACTTCCCCTTTAAGAATTTTTGCACCATGTATTTGTGTTATTGCATTAACTCGCAGTTTATTTTTGGTAATGCTTATTTAAGGCTAACGTGGCTGACTGCTCTCTTTTTTGTGTCTTTCTGAAGGACCCGCGCAGTAAGCACAAGTTCAAGGTCCACACGTACTCCAGCCCCACCTTCTGTGACCACTGCGGCTCTCTGCTGTATGGACTCATTCACCAGGGCATGAGATGTGACCGTGGGTATCTCTCACTTTCCTTGATTTCCACTCAGGCGCTCAATAACACATAATCAGCCAATTAGAATATTTGTTTGCTTTTGAAAAAAGTTTTTACATATTTTGATAGTTTCAAAGCTGAACCCAGCATGCAAGTTCTTTTTGTGGTATAGGCCTAGATGTGGTAGGGTTGGCTGGATATCAAAATTTAGGATTCGGTCTGATACCAGCCCCTAGTGCAGGTTCTTTAATTATTTGTTGTGTTTTTAGCATTTGAATTAAGATAAATAGATGTGCATTTTGTTACAGGAACATTAAATAAACTAATAAATAAAATGGATGTGAAATCTGTCATCTGTCAGAATAGGTGCAATTTAAATCGAGTGGGATCATAGAATTGACAGCTTAAACGTATGTACTGGAATATTATAGTAAATAACAAAAACTAAATTATTTTGTTCAAATGGAAACAGATAAACTACAAAAGTTTGAGGTCAGTAAGATTTTTTTAATTAAAGAAATTTGTACTTTTATTCAGCAAGGATGCAAAAGTGACAAATGCTGTTTTGTTTTTTACTTTATTCATCATAGAATCCTGGGGAAAAAAACTGTTTTCAGCATTGATAATAATGTTTCTTGAGTAAGTAATTCAGCATATTAGAAAGATTTCTGAAGAATCACGTGACACTGAAAACTGGAGTAATGACTGCTGAAAATTCAGCTTTGCCATCACAGGAATAAATTACATTATAGAATATACACCAGTTTAAGAAGTCTCTTAAACTCACTAAGGCTGCATTTATATGATCAAAAACACAGTAAAAACAATTTAAAAGAACAGTTTTCTATATAATGCACACCGATGAGCCATTACATTATGACCACCTATCTAATATATTTTGATTTACTTATTTTGTTTACTTCACTGGTTTGCACTCTATCTGCCATGTGCCGTGTGCTGCTTTATATATATATATATTTTAATATTTTTTTTACATTTTACCTTATTTGTATATTTGTATAGTTGTATTTTATATTTAATCTGTATATCTGTATTTATGTTCTACTGTTAGTGTTATCTGTATGCACCAAGGGTCTGAGAGTAACGCAATTTCAATTCTCTGTGTGTATGTGCTGTACATGTGGAAGAATTGACAATAAAGCAGACTTGACTTGACTTGACTAATAACCTGTAGGACCTCCTTTAGCCCACAAAACAGCGGCCATGCGAGGAGGTATTAATTAGACGAAGTGACGATAGGTCTCTTGGGGTATGTGGAACCATAATGTCAACAGCAGGTCCTCCAGATCCTGTACATTGCGGAGTGGTGGTGATGTAGCACAAATCCACTTTTCCAAGTCAAACCACAAATGTTTGATTAGGTGAATTTGGAACCACCTCGAACCACTCCTTGACAGTTCTGGCAGTGTGGCATGGCGCATTATCCCAACCCAGGCTCATTCGAAATACGTGCCTCTAAATACATTTCTGTAACACCGTTATTAAGTACCTTACTGCACGTTTCACGGCAGTTTCAAAGTGAACTGTCCAGTGAGTGGCACTAAAACACGGGTTCAATACGTGACCCTGGCACATTTTTTTTACGTTGATATAGGCACATATTGCTGTGTTTTAGTTACGTTGCTTCAGGTACGTATTGCGGCGGTTCATAATTCAAATATCCGGTGAGTGTTGCTAAAAGTTAATGATCTATCGTGTTGGAAATAACCCCTACACCAAACCCAACCCTAAACCTACCCAATAGTGTTAACAAATGCAAAACTGATATAAAAATGCATTTATTGATGCAACCGTGCCATTTGAACTTCCTTATATGCAGGTTTGAACTGTTTTGTCGAAGCATAGTTTCACGGGATTCGTACCGGAGCTCTTCACCACTCAAGTGCAACTCCATACTCCAACGTGAGCTACCGAACAAACCTACTGAATATGAAAACCCATACATATGAAGCTGGATATGTGACGCTAACGTTCAAAAGTAGCAGCATGTTAAAATTGTTTTGAATATATAACATAATATTCCTCAAGTTATTGTGCGAAAAATAGGCTTTATTAATTGAAACTGTGGACCTGTAAATCATACTTTGTGTGAAAAGGAATAAAAGTTGTTGGAGTTTTACTGCCTCTAGTGTTTATTTCAACTGGAAACTGCAGCGATTCGTATATATAAGTACGATTTTTTCAGTTTTGTAGAAATGTATTTAGAGGCACGTATTTCGAATGAGCCTATGTTGCATTATACTGTTGGTAACGGCCATCACCAGCAGGGAACACAGTTGCCATGAATGTGTGCACTTGGTCTGTAACAATGTTCAGATACCTGACAGCTGTCAGGAACTGTGCTATTGGGATAATGGGGCCTAAAGCGTCCCAAGAAAACATCGCACACAGCATAACCAGCCTGTGTCCACCCAACAGTACATCCAGGTGCCATAGCCTCTGTTGATAATCGGTGTATCCGTACTCAGCCATCGATGTGATGCACCAGGAATCTTGATTCATTAGACTAGGCCACTTTCTTCCAATCATCCATGGTGCAATCTCGATGATCTTGTGCCCAATTCATGTGTTGTTGGCAATGGTGTGCAGGTAGCAAGGGGACCCACCTGGGTCGTCGGCTACACAGGCCCATACGCAGAAGGCTGTGGTGAACTGTGTGCTGTGATACATTGTCCTGGTCACCACTGTTGTAACTGCTAGTGATTTGTCACACTGTGGCCCTCCAGTTTCCGCTCCCCTCTGGCATCAGTGAGCTACAGACGACCACTTTTGATACGTACTCACTACAGCAGCACGTGAACAACCCACGAGGTGCACCGTTTCCAAGATCAGAGACCAGAGGCGCCGTGCCATCACAATTAGTCCTTTATCAAACTGCGATAAATCGTCAGCTTTTCCAATTCTGACACCGACCACTCTACTGACCGAAAGCTGGTCCTCAGGTGGTATATATACTGCTCTGTGAACTGCACCTGCCCATTTGGTTGCTCTTTGGTTACTCATTGCTCTAGGCTGGAGGTGGTCATTATTGTAAGGGCTCACTGGTGTGTATTATATACAAAAAACTGTTCTTTAAAATTGTTTTTACTGTGTTTTTGATCATATAAATGCGGGCTGTGAGTTTAAGAGACTTCTTTTAAAAACACTAAAAAAATCTTACCAACTCCAAACTTTTGAATGGTAGTGTAGGCAGCATTTATTTTTTCTCAGTCTCATATGCTCTGCATCTATTGTAATACCCACATTGGCTATTATTATGGGAATGATAATCAATTATTAAGTTCTATAATAAATGCATTCAACTTTTTCATACTCAAATCATGCATTGATGCATACTGACACCCTTAACTTAACATTAGCGTTCACATTTTACGTCACACAGCTTGGACTGCCAAATTGTACTGAATAGCTGCACTTTGTTTGAATTCAAAATGTGCAAAATGTGTGTTACTACCTTTACTTTTTTTTTATACCATTTGTACTGTATACCGTGCAACCCTAGTATAATGGTTGGGTGATCCTTGTGTGTTACGTATCCCAGCGAGGCGAATATCCTGAGAACATAACCAGGCTGTATGAAGTCCCGCTCACAAAGCACCTGACTGAAAAGAGCTTTTCCATCTCACGGTATCCAGCCTCTTATCCAGTGTCCAATACATAAAACATTCAAAATGCTTCACTCACTTAGCAGCTGTCCAAGCCTCCGGGGCACAGATATTCACTGCTACATACCTGATTGTTGGCTAACAAATATTCATTGATATAACAGCGTATTTTCCAGCAGCTCTTTACTCTTATTAATGTATGACAGGCAGGTAGGCAAGTGAGCAGACAGGTGGTGTAAAGATGAGGTGCTCAGCATCTTCACCTGAAACCTGACACAAAGTTGTTATGGTTGCAGACAGGGAGAGCTATAATTGCCTTAGTTTCCAATGCATGCACCGTCTTTGTACTGTACTTTGTACTCCGGGGCCCTCTACACTGTTTACACTCCAGCTATGGCTTGCACTCTGTAACACTTCTGACTGAACTGTGGGGAAGTGCTGCAGTGCATGAGGGAGTACAGTGTGTGTGAGTGTATTCTTGTGTGTTTGCTTATTTCACACTCATTTTCAGAAGTAGCCTGAATGCCAGAGTGCCTGTTTGGCTATTTGATATGTAAACTTATGTTGAGTCCGGCTGCTTCTTTTTGGCCTGTGGCCTCCAACGCAACAAAAGCATCATTACTGTGATTAGCATCTTCGCTACTGCTTTGTTCTTCAACCCCTACTGACCCTGCTGTAAAGATCAGTTTAGAGTAGTCAACCAGCCTATTTATTTCTGATGGAGCTGGATGGCTTCGCTTGATAAGAAGTTTACCAGCATCCAAAACACACTTGCTGGTGATGTTTTTAGCAGGAGAGTACTACCTGAGGACTAGTTTGTTAGTTTCTTGGTCAGATCATACAACATTCAGAAAATACTGTTCCTTTCTTTCAAAGTCTAGTGAGTCAACTCCTTGTCTACTGCATACATAGGCAGATATCTTTTAGGACGGCAACTGAAATATATACAATGTGCAATATGGTCTCAAAAAAAAAATTCCAGAATTTGTCACTTGGCTGACACCTTTAAAAAAAAAAAAACGTATATGTACCATTTATCACTTGTTATGTACATTTAAGGTACTGATATTCACTTTTAGGCGTAAATAAGGTACAAAAAAGTTTCACCAAGGCTGTATTTGACAAAAAATACAGTAAAAACAGTAACATTGTGAAATATCTGTTTTCTATTTTAACATATTTTAATATTTATTAATGTGATGGCAATTTTTAACAATGATTATACCAGTCTTCAGTGTCACATTATCCTTTAGAAGTCATTGTAATTCTCTGATTTGGTGCTCAATGACTTTATTTATTATCAGCATGGAAATCAATTGTTCTGCTTAATAGTTTTGTTCAAACCCTGATAAAATTGAAATTTGTTGTGGCATACATTTCTATTCTGTCACTTTTGATCAATTTAATGCATCTTTCCTGGATAAAATTAAGTGTATATACATAAAAAGTAGCTCTAAATTTGCTTTCAGGAATTGCCTTTACTCGCAAAGTATATATTTGATGCAGTCTACATGTTGGTAGGAGACTTATGAGTCATTGCTGAGCTGCCATTCATAGTTACAGAATTGGCTCAACAGGTCTTTGGTAGAAGGAAAGCACTTTCCCTTTCCGTCTGGCCTTTAAAAGGTCACATTTATATATAGATTCATGTCTCATCTTTTATACAATGTGCATCTGTAAGTTGGGTTTGTGGTGTAACATCTCTCCCTCTTTCTGTCTCCCTCCATCCAGACTGCATGATGAACATCCATAAGCGCTGTGTGGCCAACGTGCCGAGTATGTGTGGGACTGACCATACTGAGAGGAGGGGCCGCATCCAAATCACCGCAGAGATCAAGAACAATGTGCTCACCGTCAGCAGTGAGTCACTGCTGCCCACTCACACACATCACTGCTGCACACATGTGCATGGAAGCAAACACTCACTCACTCACGGCTTCCTAAATAGTGCACCACTCGCTGGTGGATCCTGGACCTCTTGTTACCACACACATGCCTACGTTTGACCCTTGAAGAACAGCCAAAAATGCACTTTATACGGCAGATCTTGTATGATTACATTCAGTTGAGGCATGAAGTGTGATTCTCCGAAGACTTGTGCGAATTTCCTAGTGTCTGATTCCTCCTAGTGGTGAATCCAAAGCAACACCAGGTAGCAGGATATGTTTAGACTTTTGAACAGGTGCTGATCGTATTGGAAATATCCAGCTGCATTTAAGTCTGTGTAAAGGCAATTCAGAGAATTATTTCTAAACACATTATAAATGTTAGAAATGTATTGCTGAAACACTTTACAAAGACTGTGAACTATGTAGTACTGAATTGTGGAGTTAGACCGTTAAATAGTTTTTCACCATTTTTGTGTTCAGGATTTTTTGGGTGGGCCTGAAATCATGTCTCGATGAGGCACTGGAGTCACTGATCATGGCCCCTCCCCTAACACTATAAGAGGTGTGTTTGACTTGAAGCGGTGCTGCACAGACCGATCGCTGTTATGACATTAAAGTACCGTGAAAGCTCTAAAGTGCAGACGCTCCTTATGCTTTCGAATCGCTCTCGCGGTACTTTGATGTTATAAACCGATCGGTCTGCGCAGTGCTACCAAAGCCACTAGAAGGCAAGCCTGCAACCTTTAGCCAAAAAACGTAACAGCTAATGCTAACGCTTCCGGTTTGCCAGTACATGGGAAAGGAGACCAGAGGCCGTTTTTTTTTATAGATGTCAGTGGAGCAAAGGCTTCACTGCACTGAATAAACAGCTTTTTAGAATAAACAGCTTATTATTTAATGAATCGACAGCCTATCAGCTAATCTCCAACATGTTTTACACCATGCAATACTTTTGGATTAAACTATTTTTTAGAGTTTACACCAAAAGAAATGGCGTTTTATAAGAGAAGTCACTGTTTTTTTGCGACAGGTGGGATACAGCTTACGGCATTTCTCATTCATTCCTATGGTATCCGTAAACGGCGATTGAGTGTCGTCGCACTACTCTGACTGAAATTCATTGATGTCGAGGCTGTAATGTGATTGGTTATAAAGGCACACGTAATCCCAGTTGACCATTACGCTTTCTCCAATAGTAAGTAATACAGACCCTCTCATCTACCAATAGTAAGACAATCTCTGGTGCTACTTCAAGTCCAGCACACCTAATAACTAAAGCGCATTAGCATCAGTGGTTCGCCCGCTCAATCGCAGGTTACTGTCATTACCTTTAGTCACTACAGTCTACAGTTTGCTAGCTAGCTTTGCCTTTGTCACGTAAATGCATAATACCTGGTTACGATAATTTACAAAACAGCTCAGTCTCCTTATTTAAATTAAACTGCTAGAGGGAGCATCCATTCAGGTTGTAGCGGTATTTCACAGATGAGAGAGACAGCAGCTTTCTCGCGAGTGGGCGTGGTTTCAGGGCCGAGATTGGACACGCCCCCAGCATGTGAGAGCAGAGAATACTGCTTGTTTTTCAAGATTTTGATACTTATTTTATTTACTTGGTGGATTTTTTTATCATTCAAATTTGGCTGGGTGGTTAATTACATATTTTTCTGTGGTGTGACAAACACATGTAATATTGCTGTACGCGGACTTTTAAGAAAAAGTTAGTGTCATTTTAGATTAGCATTACAGCCTCATGTGTCTAAACACAAGCGTTGACTGCTAGGCCACGGCTCTGGAGCATAATCCTAATTTTTTTTTGCCATAGTAATATAAGCACAAACAGGTTATTTAAACTTTCAAATTGTGTATTGTCTGTCAGATTTTCGCTACACAATTATCGTGGCCAAAAGACTTCACAATAACGATATTATCGCAATGTCTGTAGATTTTTTTATTTGTATTTTTTCTTTGCTAATGATACGAGTGTAGCGAGGCAGAGAGAGATTGTAAGAGAAAGTTTGTAACCATAAATGTACAAAAGCAAAAGCATAAAAAAAGAATTAACTGTTGATCGGCACGTCCTGCAGACAGAGGTGTCTTTTTTACAGAATCCAAAAAACTTTTCATGGGTGCAGGTAAAGTGTCTTGCTTAAGTCTGTCATCAACATGATTTTGTTTTAGGACAGGGTGAAAACCGGCATTACGGTGCAGTACCCTACCTACTGTGTTGGAGTATCCACAAGTTACTGGTGGTCTATTTACAAAATTATTGAATAACGTAGTAGTAACATAATATCAATATTTAATTTTTTAAGTATTATGGTTATCGCCAATACTGGTGTATTGTGACACCCCTTGTTGTCAATATTAAGTATTATTTGTTAAAAAAAAACTAAATGTAAAAGAACTGTTTCCCGTAGGGGGCAGCAGTGAGAAAAGGAGACAAAGGTCAGCAAAATAACCCTGATGTCTAAAATGCAACATGTGACAGTGATGAAGTGAAATGCATTCCAGCTCACTGTGAAATCCTATAGGATCATTCTTGTAAACTTGTATTACGTTACACGTGTCCATGGCAACACAAGAAAGCACACTTAGTCTTCCTGTCTCTCCTTGGCATCAGTACAAACACGCCTCCAAAACAAAAACACAAGCACACTGAGGAAACTGTCTTCAGTTGCAGCCAGTAAATCAGAAATATGGTATGCTTTCAGTGTCCAGCAGAGGGCGTTATTCTCATTCTCTTAGCACAAACCGACTAAGAAAAGACTCCTCTGTGCTCTCTCACCCAACGATAGTTCACCCGATACAGTTCCAAAAATGAATGCTATTTTTCCATTGGAAAACAGAAGTTGAATTTGTTTTGAAGAGTCTTCATTCATCTGTTTCCATACAGCAACAATTCATAGTTCATTATTCACTTTATCAAACATTAATGTAGCTCTCAAATCATTCAAAAACCAGTGGCACTTGATGTTATTGACGCCTGACAGCCTGCAACATGTTTGATTTGAGAGCTGCATGATGATTTGTGTAAACTTTACATTTTAGTCTGTTCATCACACAGAGCTACTGTATGATTTCAGAAGACTTGAATTATGTTTCATTTGTAAGTCGCTTTGGATAAAAGCGTCTGCTAAATGACTAAATGTAAATGTTTTATAATGCAATTATAGCACTTTTTGGAAAATGTTGTGTGAAGATTCTTCAATATTATCTATTTGTGTTCCAAATTAGAAAAGAAAAATGGTTTGGAACGACATGGTAGATGATGAAAGAATCTGTGTATCATTCGATCATTCGTTTTTTGATTTAATATTGAAAGTAGAAAAATGAGAAAACGGCTCCTTTTTTGTTTTTTTGTTTTTTTCCCAAAAAACGAAAAATGAGAATTCAGCTTAAATTTTCGTTTTTCGTTAATGGTTGGAAAAATGAATAAACAGCTTGAATATTTGATTTCTACACATGGGCGGGAATTAAACGCCCCTTTCTGCTGATTGGTCAGCCAAAGATCAAACTGTGCCTTCATCAGTTCTTCTGCAGTATCACACAGCAGAATAATAGTCCTCCACTGCTGCAGTTGTACGGATTAATAACCCATTTTATTGCAACTACATTTCATATTTTTCTCATCAAACAGACTAATGAATAGCTCGACACAACTCGTACAGAGTCTAGACAGGTCTTTCTTCTGTGTAGACCAGCGGTTCTTAAAGTGATAGGGGGGTCCTTAAAATAATTAGCTATAGCCTAAAGTATTTCCAGACTGTAAAGTCGCTTTTTTTATCATGATACATAGGCCTACTGTGATTTATTCCAAAGTGACTTATATGATGCATTTAAAGTCAAATAATCTAAATGAAGCCTTTTAAAAGACAAGTATTCCCTGTGGTTCATGTTTGTGGCATGCGCCAGAAAGATGCTCAAGGAGAACGAGACGCGCTAAAGCAGCGCATTCGCCAATTTAATGGCAGAGAATAATGACTTTAGTTTTTGTTTTTTGTTTTTTGAAGCGGATGCATATCTTTTGTAAAATAATCCTATGCATCTCGTGGCATATATTCCAAGCATTCTGAAGGTATACTGAGGGTTTGGTGAGAAACAAACAATACGAAAAAGGAGCCGTTTTCTCATTTTTCTACTTTCAATATTAAATCAAAAAACAAATGATCGAATGATACACGGATTTGAAAGAATTGTCATATTTTGTGTGATCTATCCCTTTATCTTGACCCTTTGTAAACCCTCCACTCTGATTATTTTATATGATAATAGCTTTTCAAACAGTTTATTAAATTAGATCCATGATGAATTTCCACTGACTTGTAATTATATCTATGATATAAAACTATTATATCTATGAGGAATTTGCACTTGGTTCTAATTTCCACTTCCACTTAGTCATACTTTCAAAGCAGAAGATGAGCTCAATTAAATTAGATTTCTTGAAGACAAACCAAGAGAAAGTCAGAGTGCAGTTCAAAGGACTGTTCAGCCAAAAATGAAAATTCTGTCATCATTTACTCATCCACATGTTGTTCCAAACCTGTATAAACACTTTTTTTTTCTGGACAGAACACAAAAGGAGATATTTTGTCAAATGTTTTTGTTCATACATTGAAAGTCAACTGTCCAAAACATTGAACCCCATTGACTTTCATTATGTGGACTAATAAACACTGAGACATTCTTCTAAATATTTTGTGTTGTGTTCCACAGAAGAAAGAAAGTCATACTGTTTTGAAATGACATACAGAATTATAATTCTTGGGTGAACTATCCCTTTAATGCTTTCTGGAGGGCAGTAGGCCTGGATCTGTGCAGCAGATGTGTGTGTGTGTGTGTGTATGTGACATTAGACTCAACACACTGCTCTATATTTAGCCATGCGTCCCTCTTTTCAAGCTCAATCCAGGGCCATTTCTCCCCACGAGCCTCAGCTCCCATTTTCCCTTAGAATTGACCAACAGCCTTTAGCCCGCTAGCGGCTAATGAGCAGAGCTGCACCATGTAAAGAACCGAGGTGCAGACAGCCCTGAGCGCAAAAGACATTTTTAATCCATCATGCTGTCCTTTATAATTTAATGTCACGCGACGGTGCCGCAGATCTGCTGAGCGTACAGTAAGATGAATGAGGCCACGTCCTCTCGCGCATTTCTAAGGCCTGTCACTTAAAGCTAATGAATTGACCAATACCTGGATGGAAATGGGGCGGGCGCTCTGCCTTTAAAAGGTCCTTTCCACCTCATCTTTCTCACACTCGCACTCGATTTGACCACTGGAGCACTTGCAGGTTGATAAATAATAGTGAGGCAAACTGGGTGACCATGTTTAGTGTGTTGTCAGTGCTTGTTATGCGGCTTCATTTTGTGAATGAAGACTTAAATCTTGCCCTTAGATCAGCTTAAAGGAATAGTTCACCCGAAGGTTCTTTCTTCCGTTGAACACAAAAAGACGATATTTTGAAGAATGTTGAAACCAAACAGTTGCCGGTAGCCATTGACTTCTATAGAATTTTTTTCTATACTATGGAAGTCAATGGCTACCGGCGTTTTTAAGAATGTTTGTTTACAAACATTAAAAATATCCTTTTGTGTTCAGTACAGGTTTGGAACAACTTGATGGGGAGTAAATGATGAGTGAACTATCCCTTTAATGGATCCAGTTAGTTTCTGGATCTCTTCAGAGCACCAATAACGCTCAGAAGAGCATTGCTATTGAGTTGCAGTTCTGTTTTCCACCCAGAGGGAGCAGTGCTGCTTAATTATTTGCTACAACATAAAATTATATTCTTACAGCCTTTTTTACACCTTAGTCTTTTAGATTGATCAACTGTGTTATACGCTACTATGTAAATGAGATCAGTATTTTTTAATCAACATAATGAGCTTCCCACATCTCTGAGCCACAAAACTGAGTGTATCTTGTAGGTCAAAGCTTTTGATATCTTCATGCAAATATTATTACATGGTCAGTGATCCCGCTTTCTTAATTGCTGCATATGGAGGGCTTTCAGAACGAACATGTTGTGCATAACATTTATTAGCTGGTGAAATAAACCCTGCTCCGTGAGCACGACGGTTCACGCAGAAGCTGTCTCTCTCTTCCTGTCTTCGTGCTGCAGTACACCGCTGTCTTAATGAACAGCTAAGCCTACCTTCACACACCACTCATTATGGAAATTACACTAGCCACAAATCTCAAGGCCACAGCAGTCTCCTGCATTAATTGTTGTCCTGGTCAAGTGCTGAGGTCAACCCCAATTACTGGGATAGTGTGTGTGCATTCGTAGCCCCACACGGCCATGAGGGCTCATGAGATGCAAGTATAAATGACTGACAGCTATTCACTCACATCTGATTTCACACCCCCTCATATGATTGTAAAGTGCTTTGGATGTACAGCAATACACAATAAAGCGCTATATAAATGCCTCATTCATTCATTCATTCATCTAGGGTCCCTAGTTATTGCTTTTAAGGGGTAAAGATTTTATCAGATAATTGGCATCCTACGCTGAACTTTTTTTAATTCAGTATCTTTTTATTTTCTAGTAAAACTATTTAGATGTCCTAAAAATAGGATTAAATTTACTTGAGAATTGTATTGATATTTATAATAATATTTATATTTGTTTTCTAAATAGAAATATATATTTTAGAATATAATATTTATATAAATATTTATATAAATTGTATAAAGTATAATTGTATAAAGTGATTTTGTTTTTATTTTATGTAACTTTGATTCATTGCAGTGACTCATATCTTTTGAATCCGTTCAAAGGTTCATTCACTGGTTAGTTTAGTTATTCTTTTTGCAGGATTCATCAATCATCAGGAGATGGTGAAAACTGACCAAGTTCTTTATGTGGGTTATGAGTGAATCATTGACTCGTTTTGTCAGTTCACTAACATGGAGTTGTTTAAGACTGAATCAAGTCTTAATATATCATTACTGCTGCATGTATTTGATTACAGTAAAATAAAAATAGGGATATTGTGAAATATTCTTACAATTTAAAGTAACTGTTTTCTGTATTAATTTTTAAAGTGCATGTCACTTTTGTCCAATTTAATGCGTCCTTGCTAAAAGTATTAATTTCTTTAAAAAAAAAAAAAAAACCTTTTGAATGGTAAAATGTAATGGAAAATCTTCCATTTTGTCTGCTCCAGATCTGCTCGGCATAACTTTTATCAAGCTGTAGACAAAAAGTCAACAACAGTAGAGTAAATTATGAGTTTCAGTAACATCCTTTCATCATTTTAATTGTGAGATTGACTCACATATCGACTTGAACATCTCATTCAACATATCAATGTTCTTGAATCAGTAGGTCCTACAAATGAAATGCTTATTTAACTTACACTTCAACAGTATTGGAAGGCAGGAAAATAACTTGTATGCATTGTAAATAATGAGTTGTTTTTTTATGCTGGACTCTAAAAACATAAACAGTGCTTAACTGTGACATTCATTGATCTAAACTCCAACAAAAAGTTGATACGCGCTGTAGTATGTTTTATTTAATGTAAAGATTCACTTGGCACTGACTGCACACTATAAAGAGTGAAAGTAGGGAAATCTTGGTCCTTATGTGTCTGATTTATTCTGTATTTCTATGTTACAGTTAAAGAGGCGAAGAACCTGGTGCCCATGGACCCCAATGGCCTCTCTGACCCCTACGTCAAACTAAAACTCATCCCTGACCCCACGAGCAAGAGCAAACAAAAGACCAAGACCATCAAGTGCTGCCTGAATCCCACGTGGAACGAGACCTTCACATTGTATGGAAGCTTTCACTCTGTTTCCGACCATAGACATCAGTAGCACAGCCAAAAGATCAGTCATTTGTTTGAATGAGAAATGCAAAATCAAATGTTGAGTTTGATTTCTTGGTCTCTGTCCTCCTCCCTCCTGCGCTTTGTGTCTTACAGTAATCTGAAGGAGTCTGACAAGGACCGCAGGCTGTCTGTGGAGATCTGGGACTGGGACTTGACCAGCCGGAACGACTTTATGGGCTCTCTGTCTTTCGGCATCTCGGAGCTTCAGAAGCAAGGGGTGGACGGATGGTGAGGAGACCTGCTGACACACACATACAGTATATACATCAGTGGAAATGTGGCAAGTTCCCACGGTCAAATAGATTGTGTACATACTAATATTAAAAGGTTTGTCAACTAAACCGCATTGCATATCACAGGAATTCGCAGACATGCAGCAGTCTATACACGTCTAACTGGTTCAGTCGTCCCTGGATTTGAAGACTCTTGCTCTTTCAGAAGTCCTCAGCCTGTCTTTTCTCCCTCCTCAGTAGTGCTCTTCATCGAAGAGCTCTCCACTCCTGTTTTCTGCTCACACAGTCCCATCCCTTCTCGAACACCTCTAAACGCATCTCTTGTCAGCTAGGATCTGTGTATTTTTGCATCGGCATGAGCATGCTGTGAATGCTTAAACGTGCAGGTAATTTGACTGAACTGAGTTAAGTGAGAAAGGTCAGATCCACTTTCACAGGAGGTCTTTGCTCTCTCCATCATGTTCTCTCTCTGTCAGTTGTTAGATCTTTTTTTCTTTTGGTCTATTTTGTCTAGTCAGTACAAGTATCTAGAGACAAGTAGTGTCAAGTAGTTCTTTCCCACCTAACAGATAATTCCCAGAGTCGGGAGATCGCTTTATGACAAGGTTATGTAAACGTTAAAGGGATAGTTAACCCAAAAATGAAATTTTGATGTTTATCTGCTTACCCCCAGGGCATCCAAGATGTAGGTGACTTTGTTTCTTCAGTAGAACACAAACGAAGATTTTTAACTCAAACCGTTGCAGTCTGTCAGTCATATAATGGCAGTCTATGGGCTCCACGGCTTTGAGAGTCAAAAAAACATACACAGACAAAACCAAATTAAACCCTGCGGCTCGTGACGATACATTGAGGTCTTAAGACACGAAACGATCGGTCTGTGCAAGAAACTGAACAGTATTTATATAATTTTTACCTCTGATCCAACTTAATGTCCAACTGTCCTGAGCGCGTTCACAACATCCGGCGCGTGACGTCAAATAAATACGGTTGGGCAAACATTTCCACACTGTCTGATGATATATCAAAATCGTCTTCCATTGTGATGACCTGTACTTCTAAATATTTTTAATCTTCACAGTGCCAGTGAACACATCCGCAGTCTCTCTCTGCACTGTGTAAATAATGAGTGACGTATACGTGCGACAGATCGCTTCCGCACGTGTCTACTATCATAGATATGTATAGATGCCCTATTCGACAGCTCCAGATACGTTGATGCGACTGCCATTTTGGAACGTATTGCGGCCCATAGAAACAGTCACTAATGAGGCATCTACTTATATATATATCTATGTCTACTATGCCAGAGCACGTACACGCATCACGCGCCGGATGTTGTGAACGCGCTCAGACATTGCAGTGGATCAGAGGTAAAAAATGATATAAATACTGTTCAGTTTCTTGCACAGACCGATCGTTTCGTGTCTTAAGACCTCAATGTATCGTCACGAGCCGCAGGCTTTAATTTGGTTTTGTCTGTGTATGTTTTTTTGACTCAAAGCCGTGGAACCCCATAGACTGCCATTATATGACTGACAGACTGCAACGGTTTGAGTTAAAAATCTTCATTTGTGTTCTTTTTTGGGTGAACTATCCCTTTAAGAAAACGTTAAAAATATATAAATTTCTGCGATGGGGTTTATAAATGCCAAGGACCACCAAATATGATGATCCCCTTGCAAAAGACCCCTTTCCTTGAATTTAAATGCAGATTTTATGCATAAAAACTTATTTATACTATATAAGAACAATATTAATAAACAATTTACTTTTTGTTCTAATACTAAAGCCAAAACAGATTATTAAAATATTATGAGGAAAATATGTATTTTGGTATTAAATTAATAATTAAATAAATATATAAAATTAATTCATAATAAAATAATTACATTAAATTAATAATCTTTTTTGTATAGTATTTTCACTATAAATATTGTTCCAAAGCAGCTTAACAGAACATAGGGCCAAACAACCTTTTTGCAAGGTAAAGAAGATGGTGATGAAAAAATCCCTCGAAAGATTAACATGTATATAAACTGTTTATGAACATAAATACTTGGCAAGGAAGTAGTGGTGAACAACAAATTTGATGTGTTTATTTCTTACTGTTAAAAACATGATATAATAAGTTTATATCTATTCAGGAGTACAACGCACTATTTAATAATAAAAATAACCATAAAGTTACTATTTATTAAATTACAGATAAGGTCAAAATAATGCTTTTAAACATGTTATGCTATAACGTTCAGCTTGCCTTATGACACCTGTCACCTGTCAAGACATTTTTTGAGCATACATTTATTGACTAGTACAGTCAGTGTTCACAATGGAAACACAAAGAAAGTGAGGTCAACTAGTTTTCTTTTTGTTTCTCATTTTTAGTTTTGATATTTCAGTGGCTGTGCTGACAGTACACATCCCTACTGGCTACTGTAGCTGGTGTCTCCTCTCGCTGTGTGTTTTGCTCTACAGATGTGACTTTTATCAGATGGCTTGATGGGATGCGTGTACGTGTTTTGTGAGGGTGTTTCAGAGGTTTTGTAGCAGTTATGAGCCTCTTTGTGCCCGCGATGGCTGCTTCCTGCCAACTGACAGAAAAGCACAGTGTCAGATTAGAGGCGAGACGTTTCAGCTCCCCAGTGGACCTTCAGTCAGGACATACTGATCACAATCTCATTGTCAGAGCTGTCACTGTCTCACCACATCAGTCATTCATGTTTGCAAAAGGACAGAGTCTGAGAACAGGGATAGTTTGAATTTCATAAGAAAGAATGTCCTCAAAGATCAACTTTGTTGACGTTTTTGTTGTTGTTTTTTAATGTGCAGGATATAAAACAAATAAATTATTATGATTGTCTAATCACTTGCAACACTCCGGTGTCAGATAACAGTACTTGTATGTATTATACATTTAGTCATTTTTTCTATATTATATTATATTATATTATATTATATTATATTATATATTCAAACTTCTACACTTTATAGATAAATGGTTAATCAGTTGACTATTATTTGATTTAATTGTTTAAATAATTTTGTTAATTTTTTTTATTGTATCTTGATATAAAATTGCTGACATTTCAGCTCTATTCACATCTGATATCTGCATTAATTGATAATTAAATAAATATTATAGCTTGGCAAAAGTAAAACTGTCTTTTCAATGCCAGAACTATATAAACTGTCTTTGGCTCATGCATATTAATTTGATGATATTAAGTCTAGAATGAATACTTTAGAAAGTCAGTGTGAGCTAAGTTATATTGATGACCTCTATTCTGCATGTAGTGATCATTAACTGCTATGGCCATGGCTCATAAAAGTCTCTGACCAACATGTAGACTATATCAAATGTATGCTTTACAAGTAAAGACAATCCCAGAATGCAAATTTAGTGTCATTTTTTATATACACTGTACTTACTATTTTATTCAGCAAAAATGCATTAAATTGATCATACATGATGGTAAAGACATTTATTACAAAAGATTTCTATGTTTTTTCTAAAGCTGTTTTTTGAACTTTCTATTTATCAAAGAATACTGAAATTGTCATTGATAATAAATATATAATTTATTAAAAAAGCAATCAGCAAATCAGCATATTAGAATAATTTCTGAAGGATCCTGTGACACTGAAGGCTGGAGTAATGATGCTGAAAATTCAACTTTGCCATCACAAAGCAGTTTTTTTTTTTACTTTACTTGTTTAACTGTATTTTTGATTAAATAATTGCAGCCTTGGTGAGCTTAAGAGTCTTCAAATAAAAAAATAAAAATCAGTAGTGTAATGAAAAACAAAATATAAACAAAAATATAATAACAAAATATAAACAATATAATATAAATAATATTATAATATTACTAATAAATATTAGTAATATTAATAAAATAATTTGATATCTTCATGTATCATATTACCTGACCTATTAGAAAAGATATTTTCATGCTAACTGCCATTCTTCTGCGCTTTCCTATTTCTGTGAATGTGATGAGGATGACGCTCACACACACTAAAGCCTCTGGAGGTCTAGATGTGGAAGGAAGGAGTGTGGGGGAGAGTACTGCAGCCATGACTCATCTGCAGTCATAAACACAACACACACACACCCGCGCAGACTAGAGGCAAGATGAACACAGGGCCTCCTATCACATCAGTAGCAATAAAGGATGTGGAAACCCAGCGTGCTGCTCTCTCTGAGGGGGGTGCTTTCAGTGGTAGGTCTGTTGATTTTTGAACATGTCATCTCGTCAGGTCCCAGCAATGGTCACCTCACACCGTTAAACAGGAAGCTGATTTTTTGCTATCTGGAAGCACAGATGTTAGAAGAGCTAAATATGAGATGGGGCATCATGCTGTCCCTCAGACATTTGAAAGCTGTTTGGGGGCAACTACAGCTGGTTGGATTCCTCTTCACACATGATCATAGTCAAGGTCGTCCCAGCTGAGAGGGAAACTGTAAGTGTATGAATGGTTTAAATGGTTTAAATTTTACAAAATGTGCCGTTTCAAGGAAGTGTGCAATTCCGATAGCGGCCAGATGGAACCATTATCAGAGGAGGATTTAATGTCTCTGTTGCTGAACCATATGTGATACTGCTGAGATCCTGCACTCACCTAACTGTCCCTTATTTTCTGTCTGTCAAACACATGCACACACACGCACACACACACACACATGCAGGTTTAAGATGCTCAGTCAGGAAGAGGGCGAGTACTTCAATGTTCCTGTCCCACCCGAAGGTGAAGAAGGCAATGAGGAACTCCGGCAGAAGTTTGAGGTGAGAGTATGTGTGTGTTCACCTGCTTTTTTGGGTGTGCCAGAGTATATGCGTGTTTGTATTTGCATACATTATTATATGTATAATGTACTGTATGCACACACAAGCAAACATTAGTTTCATTTTATTTATCAAGAGATAAGCCCCTAGAGAACAGTGTAAAACAGTACTGTTTAGTTTTTTGTTTGTGTGTGTGTGTTTGTTTGTTTGTTTGTTTTGTTTTGTTTGGTTTTGTTGTTTCTTTTTTGTTTTGTTTCGTTTCATTTTGTGTTTGTTTTTTGTTTGTTTCATTTTATTTCATTTTTGTTTTGCTTCGTTTTGTTGTTTTTGTTTCAATTTGTTTTATTTTTGTTTTGTATTTGGATTATTTATTTTTGTTTTGTTTCATTTCATTTAGTGTTTTTTTTGCTTTTTTTTATTTATTTTTTTTTTATGTGTGGTTGGATAAAAGATAATTTGAATAACATGCACTTGAATCATGCCTAATAAGACCAGAAATGTAAAAAAAAGTAAATAGAGCCAGTTTTGATTTAATTTTAATTTTGACTCTCCCAACTGGGTGTGAGCAGGTAAAGTGACACAGAGAGAGAGAGAGAGAGAGAGAGAGAGGTCTTTGTGCATGAAGCATATATCACTCACTGACAAATCTGGCACAAATAACACATTGGCAAATCCCAGCATCCTCCCAGAGTAATCACACTCATGTCAACCTGCATTCTGCTCCGCACATCCCAGTTTGAATACAGAATAGAGCTGACTGAGAGGAACCAGCACGAAGCTCTTGATCCCTGGCCTTTTTTCACCACAGATTGATTCGGGCACAATTTAATGTCCCTTTTCCTCTGGTTTCCTGTTTCTTTTGAGAGCATACAGTTAGTAGTTCAGACATGGTTCCCAATAAGTTGATTGGTGAAAATGGTCTCGACAGTCGGTTTGTGCCAGTCGGTGTGTGCATGTATGTTGGATGCTTTTGTGTTTGTGTGTGTGTGTGTGTGTGTGTGTGTGTGTGTACCTGGTATTTATCACGTTATGGGGACCAATGTGTGTTTGTGTTTGAGCTGGCAGTTTTCCTACACATGGTGTGATGCATAATGCAAAATGTGAGAAATGGTCAATCTGTATCTCATCTGGTGGGCTGATTTCACACATCATGGAGGAAAAACTTCTTAACTCGTCAGTTTAAGTCAATACAAATGATGAACCCCCTCACATACCTACCCAGCGCTGGGTCAGTGTAACCCAATGTTGGGTAGCCTGTGCCAAACTAATTAAAACTGGATACATTTGTCAGCGGTCATTCTGTGTTCTGTTCTGAGGGAAAACGTGACTGATGGGAAACTTCCTGAATGAAATTAAGGTTTGTATTACATTGTATTCCTATGAAATTATTACTGTATAAATAGGAAAGCGTCTCTAGACTCACATTTTTCATATTTTTGTTTAAATGTACGTCCCAGCTAACGTCTGCTTGGAACGCTAGACTTCTACAAACGCAGCATTCACCAGATCTACACGCAAAGCGAACGAAGCGCCGGCGCCACCATGGAAGTTTCACCTCCCGCCAAATGAATGCGTGACCAGGGCTGAAACACGACGCGACTTCGCTGTTGTATGAAATACAGTTTCTGTGCGCTCCACTGACTACAACAGGGGCGCTACTTATCTAGTGCGCTAGCGACACAGTGGTCACGCTATGCATTTGATGGCTTGAAACTTAAATGTCTGACAAACAAGATGACAAGAGGTAAAGCTGTTATTGATGTAACTTTTCAAACATGAATATAAGACAAGTCATTAATATAAGTGATTTAATTAACTAGAACAGCCTACTGATCGCAGTTTTCTTCCCACAGATTCCCACTGGCTGCTCTTGCTGCTCCTGTCACGTCCTAAAAAGTTTTTTAAGATTTTATGATTGTAAAAGACTGACTTGATATTGAATAAAAAATATTGTGTCAACTGTTGTTCTATATATAAAGCAGATTTTAGAGTGCATTTTTAGTATTTAAAATTAAAAACCTTCAGTAGGTTGACTGACCCAGCACTGTCAAAAACAACCCAACAAATGGGTTAATGTATAAAACCCAACAAGCTGGGTTCAAATAACCCAGCATGTGTTCTGTCCAATATTTATCCAGCGCTGGGTTGCCAAATAACCTAGAAATGGTTGTTTTAAACCAGCATTTAAAAGAGTTTTTTATTATTATTATTGTATAAGAAATTATACAACTCTCACGACTCATTTCAAAACCTAGTAGATTCACGTCCTTCTGTCTCTGTAGACAAATTTTATAATATTATATAAATAATAAAATTATATAATTTAATAAATTTTATAATTTTATATTACTATAAAAACAAATTTGCACTTTTTTATAGTAACTTGATTACAGTATTGCAAAATAATAAAAGTACTAGTAATTATTATTGGTATTGTTATTATTATTATATTGACAGTTTATTTATTTTTACATATTACACATACATTTTAACAAAACTTACTTTTTAAACATAATTTTAAACATCGCAAAATAACGATAATAAAATAAAACTAGTTATCTTTGCAATATGTACAAATAAATTGTTAATAGTAACAATAACTTTTTTTTAGTTTATTTATAAATAATTATAAATAATATAAATATTTATAAATAGTTTAACTATTTATTTTGCTTATGTCAATCTAATTATTATTATTACTACTACTTTTATTATTACTACATAAACTCAAACTTATACAGCTTACAAGGCAATGTAATTAAGTTGTTTTGGAATTATGGAGCAGCTTTGTGTCTGTTATGCTTTAAAACACTGGCTGTGTAGGCAGTTCACTAGCTTTAGAGCAATTCTCTCATAGATCAGCATCATATCTGGTGTCTTGTTCAGATGTATGTTGTTCGATTGTTGCTGGCTACGAATGAATGACCCAGCATTCCTAGCATGCTTCGAGACTGAGTGGTTGTGAGGGGAAAATGCTGAGGCTCTATTTGAGAGCATCAGGATGGGAGATGTAGGAAAGGCTAGCGAGTCAGTTCCTTGCTTTGCGGTCAGGGCAGGTCTCTGCTGAAAGGCGGAGGGGGCAGATGAAGGATTGGCCTGTTGGCGCTCATATTGAGCTCATTAGGGCCGAGGCTATATCAAGCTACCTGCCAGCAGCTCCATCACACTTGCGCACACAGACTGACCGGCAGGCCTCCCTCAGGATCAGTGTCAGTAACACAGAGCTGGTCACTCCTGTTCCTGTGCTGTAGGACCCACATCACACAACGCTCGGAGCTGTAGCCTCATGTCAACTTTTGTTCCTGCGTCGTGAGCTGTAGCCAGATTTGGCTCAGCATGAAAACAGAGATGGGGAAATTACTCATTATCTAGCACTCATTTTGGATCAACTCCTGCTTTATATGGATACGAATGTTTCTATGGACTCAGAGTGCCCAGGGGTCAATGACGTGACATACTTTTTTAAATTTTTTAATCCAAATCCTTTACATTATTCAAAATGAAAAGTTTCTCGCACAAATTACTTACTTTAAAACTGTATTTTGACAAAGCTGCACACTCGTTAACATAAGTTTAAGTACTCTGATCATAAAGTTGTTTACCACACTACAAGTTAATCACAAAAAGTCACCAACTAAGCTACTCATAGGGGCAATATATTAAATATTATATTGTAGAAATAATTTTCATTTATTAGCAAAAAAAGATCATATCATATCATATCATATCATATCATATCATAACCAGTGTATTATATTATCAAAATGAAGAACTATTGCTGGTATTCAATGATAAGCAATGATAGCAAGTTACTATTCATTTATACAAAAAAGCATAAGAATTAATGCTAATATTGTCCAAAACCCCACTTTGAAACTTATAGGGTTCTCCAAACTTTTAGAGCAGTGTAATGGCGCTTTTCCACTGCATGGTACGGCTCAGTACGGTTCACTTTTTGGGGGTTTTCCACTGGGTACAGTATATGGTACCTGGTACTTTTTTTAGTACCACCTCGGTTGGGGTTCCAAGTGAACCGTACCGTTACCAAAACGTAACGTGTAAACTCTGCTGATCACGGATTGGCCGGAGAGAATCGTCACTACCTGCGTCACTGAACTTGCGACACAAACACAAAAGAACCGCTAGATTTAAATCAGCACAGCCAGAGATGGATCGAACGCAACTGTTTTGAACGAGCGCACCTTTTTTTAACAACCAAAAAGTTTTGTTGTCTGTTGCGGAAGAACAGACGTTCCTCTCGTTGATAGCAGAGGAGCGGATCCAGCGAGAGCTTGATGGGGCGACGCGGAATGAAAAAGTTTGTTTTAGGAGTCGTGGTAGTAGAGGCGGCGCAACTATAACGACATGTGAATAATCCCGCCCACTCTAAAGCGGTACTGAACTGCAGTGGAAACGCAAACCGTGCTGAGCCGAACCGTGCCGTGCCGTACTGAGCCGTGCCGAGCCGAGTCGTACCATGCAGTGGAAAAGCGCCAAAACTGTCACATGTGGTTTCACCTCTAGCGTCTCAGACCGAATACAATGTAAAATAATTTCAAATTCGCAAGTGGGTTCAGAGGAAGCATTAAATTGCTTTAAGCATCAAGAAAGCTTGACAAAAGATACTTTTTTTTAATCACAAAAGAATTCTCTGTGTAGAAATAAAAACAGCCCCAGTGTTAAATGATAAGAGTTGACCTAGGGTGAAGAGTTTAGAGGTTTATAATAAGATCTTTCATCGTCATATGGGCAACGGTATGTGGACTTATTTTTGCATTTGCCATTTTCATACAACACATATATGTGCATTTATGCAATGAGATAATCTAAATGTCAACAGAAGATGTGTATTCAGATCAATATCTAAATGTGAAATGTTCTATATTAAGTACAAGAAAAACTCCTCAAATCGCCTAAATGGTAAAAGAAATCACTGATCATGTGTACACTGGTGACTCCAAGGTGACTGGAGGCACTTAAAGGCAGCATGATGTTGTCTA